CTTAAGTGGAGCAGTTGCTTGGGCGTTAGCTAGCAAGCATGGGCCAGTGCTACTGCATTTGCCCAGGCCTGGCAGCAAGGGTGACAGTCCAAGGTGTGTTCCTTCTGCTCTTTGACGCAGCCGGGTCTGTAATAACCACAGCATCCCGGGGATTCGGGCTTGGAGTGCTTACTCTCCAGAGCGCTATGGGATCAAAGGTGCTGCGCATCATTTAGTGCCTGATATTCAACACAGTAAGGCCATGTACAGGTTGTTTGTTTGATTGTTTGTTTTTTAAAAAACAAGGTCACTAATGTATGAGCTACGGCACTGAGCGAGTGAAATCTTCATGTTTACCCCACCCTGAGGGTTTGGTGGATGATGGGTGACAAGCTAGCAGTAAGGGTTAGTAACGGAGTTTTGAGAGTAAACTTGGAGTTTGTAGTCAGTGCTCAGCTCTCCTTGAACTCACCAGAGTGCTCAGCAACTCCAACTTCTTACTGCAAGAGGGCCAGGCAGTACCTCCACAGATGGCCTGGGCTCCTTTAGCTTCTCATGAGAGCCAAAGAAGTCATCGTCACTGTCCTCATGAAGGGAGGAACTCAAGTCCCCAACTCGTAATATGTATGAGAGATTTCCAGATGCCGCACATTCTGGCACTAGGAGTGTTTGTTAACATACACCCTTTGCAGTGCATCAGTCCTTTTCCCTATAAGGCAAAGGGTCAAACAGCGTAATGCTGTTTCTTATGTCTACAGCACTTTATATCAGTAGGTTTGATTGTATTTGACAGTCATAAAGATCCACATCTTCCCCAAAATCCTGTGAATGCCTTAGCAGAGCAGCTCGCTTATGGGGAAACTGAGACACTCATGGTAATTTGAAGACTGGGTCTGTCTTGCTTAGGCTCTGTGATCTCCAGCCCTGCTTTTTCTTCCTTTCTATACACAGCCAAGACAAATTATAGATACCAAATTCATCAGGGGACTGATCTAAATGTTGAGGATGGTCACGGAAGGCTGCGGGTGAGATGTGCTTGTGGGTGCTAAGCTGCTGGATGGGAAGTCATTCCCTGGTGAGATGGGCGACTTGCCTGGTTCTTGGGACCAGTTGTTTTGGGGTAATGGAAATGCACTTTTGTGGAATTGACTTTTGATTTTAAAAAAATGCAGTTCCAGCTTGGGTTCAGGGCTGACTGAAAGGCTAGGAGCCTCAAGATAACAACTGCATGCCCGTTTCGAACACATGCATGTATACGAGAATATAATTATACGTGATCATTGGTGCATATGCAGACAATTTTAAATTTAAGAGGGCGTGAGATCATCCCAGAATGAAAGCACCAATCCATTCCATCATGGGTGAGGGATGTGATTTTTAGCAAGCCTTTCAACTGATAAGAAAGCAAGCAAAGTGCAGGTATAATTTTCAGCCTGAGACAATCAGAGCGACACTGGCTGAAAGGGAGACAGCATAATTGGCAAAGCCGTCAAGTTGTTTACATTGTTGTGTTTGTGCGTGCGTGTGTATAGGAGTGAGAACCAAGGAATATGACCTCTGTTTAAGACATCTATTTTCTGTGAAAGAAACCAGGTCATGGCAAGCTCTTTCATTCTTTTCCCCCAGAATGTTCCTGGAACTCATAAGAAATTTGACTAAGGACAAACGCAGCATTTTCTGCCTGGCTAGTCCAGCAAATAGCACTACTCAAGAGTCAGCTGCAGAGATAGGCTTTTCCTTAGGCAGCTGATTAACCCGCCTCACCGATGGCTCATTTTAACTTGAACTCAGAGCTAACGGTTGCAGCATCTTCCCCTGTGGTCACTCAAGGTGTCCCTGAAAGACTGATAGTTCTCAATATGGAGGTTATAGTTGGTGCCTGCGTGGTGTGTACTTGTGCGTGTGTTTTATGCATGTGTGCTCATTTGCAAGGGGGCCAGAGCTGGCTGTGTTCAACTACATTTTGTATAGTGTGTCCTGTCTTCAGGCCCTCTGGTTAAACAGCAGATAGGACAGTGTCACTGGCAGTAGTGGGCTTTAGCCCTTCTCATATTGAACTTGTTCCGTGAGTGAGAAAACTATGACTGTCTAATGCTCCCATGCCAATCCTTGCCTTCCTCCACTTCTGCTTCTCTATTCTCTTCCCCTCTTTATGACACTTATTATTTTTCCATCCACAGCAAAACAGTTCACATCAAGGTAATTGATGATGAGGAGTATGAAAAAAACAAGAATTTCTTCCTTGAGCTGATGAGCCCACGCATGGTGGATATGAGTTTACATAAAGGTGTAGTACTGGCCCTGCAGACTAACGTTAACATTCTTCTTTCCTCTTTTCTTTCTTGCCCTTCCTCCTCTTCTCCTTTTCCTCTGATTTGTTTTTGTTTCCAACTGCTCTGTCCAAAACACTGCTGTGCGCACATACCTGTGTCACATGGTACCTCTGGAGCATGAGTGGGATGGAAAGTGTGGTAGGGGGCCTGGGAAAAGGGACAAGGGAAGGAGAGAGAGAAGGAGAGCGCAGTCCTCGTTGTGAATATTTTTGCAGTGGCTCGGAGAGGGACCTTCCATCATTCCCACTGATGGAAGGGACTAAGGCAGCCCAAGCAAGTCTTGCAGCCTCAGTGGGAAGGCGCTTGTTAGGAAGGCATCCAGCATCCTAGGAGATTGTCACCCTGTGGGGTGTCCTGATAGTCCCACATTAGCAAAACACAGGAATCAAGGCCTGGCAGAGAAGGAGCTCCTAATAAATTCCCAGAAGGACTGGGTAAAGACTGTGAGCCCTCCAGAGCAACTCTATGAGTGACGGCTCAGGGCAGGGCAGAGAGCTGACACTCCACTTTTGATTGAGCCCTGTGCATGGCAGGGGTGCTAGACATAGCCTGGAAACCTGGCGGCTGGGAGAAGGAGACAGCTCTCCTCCAGTGTCAAGGTTGTTTTCATTCAAGTCTCCGAGGTATTTTAGTGCCATTCTGTCTTCTGCGAGCTCCCAGCAAAGCTGTCTGCTCTCCCAGAAAGTGGAGTCTCTCGGTCAGGGAACATTCGGGGCAGGAAGAGGAGGCAGACTGTATCAAAGAGCAGAAGCAATAAGATATGCCATTTTGAAAATGGAAATGAGGAATATCAGCATCCTTTGAAGCTGGCAGAGCTGTGGGCTGGCTGCGAAGACCCGACTCGCCCCCGCTGGGGAGCGTGTCTGTGAGCACACATCTCTCTCCTTCTCGGTCTCCGAGCCCAGAGTCCCTGCAGATTTATTACTAATTGTGAGGGTAACAGAAGCAATTGACCTTCCAGCTAAAATGCCTTGTGTACTGTGCAGTGGCTCCTGGTGCTTTCCAGTCACCCTTTCTATTACCATGTGACACTGAGAAAAAAAAAAAACAACAACAACAAAAAAGTGCTGCAAAAGTCACCTCCCACTAACCATCAGCAAGGTGCAACCCTCCTTCCTCTCCCTCTCCCCCTCACCAGCCCCATCTCCCCTTAACACCCTCCCCGAAGAGCAGCTGCGACCGATGCCAAGCGAGCAGGCCACCGGCACAGCGCCCAGGCAGCGGGCACCGGGCTGCATGCGGGACGCGTGCGCTGCTGCTGCTGCTGCGTCTCCTGCGACCGGCCGACCCGCTCTACACGGTTGTCTCTCTTGTTGTCCCTACAGGAAGACCGTAAGGGTTAAAATAGTAGATGAGGAGGAGTACGAAAGGCAGGAGAATTTCTTCATTGCCCTTGGTGAACCGAAATGGATGGAACGAGGAATATCAGGTGTGAGATCCTTTATGAAAAACAAATGGAAAAAAAAAAAGAATCAAGTCTCTAAACCCCAGCTCCAAAAATATAACCCTTTTTGTCCTATCTCCCCTCCCTCCTTTTCTCCTTCTCCTGTAGACAGATTGACTTTTCTTCTCTGCCCTCCTGTATTCTTGCTCTCACCCTGTTTTGGTGTCATCTCTGCCTTTTAGAGCCTAGCCTACTTCTGATCCTGCTTTTGTGCAATGCTTGGTCCTTTGAGGCTGTGTTATTTTGGTTGGGTTCCTTCTGGTTTGGTTTGAGCCCTTCTGAGCACATCTTTGCTGTTCTCCCCTCTCCTCCTCCTTTGGCAGGACCTTAGGGAACGTGTTAGACAAGGAAAGGGCAAAATGCATGGCTGCCTCTTAAGCTCACCCCGTACACCCTGCTGTCCTTCTCTCTGTCGTTCCTGCCAGGGCATTGCATTGGTGCTATTGGGTTTCCCTGTGGTGCGAGGAAAAGCCCTGGGAAAAGAGGGAAGGTGTGAGCTAACTTTTTTCCCTTGTATTTTTTTAAAATACAAGCAAACATCTCAATATCTTTCATCTTAACAAAAAAAAAAAAGTGTTGTAAATAATTACAGCCTTTCATCCAGAGGGTGTGGAGCACTGTCGATGTTGTAGTTTAGGATTGGATACAGTGAGGCTGAGGATCCCTTAGCAGATCAGGATCATATTGGGAAGAAATCCTGACATTTAGTCATGTCTTCCCTTATGTGTAGCTTTGTCCTTGTTGTGTCCTCTTTCTCAGTTGCTGAGTTTTGCCATTGGATTCATCATCTTTGGGGTGGCCCAGGAGGGGCTATATTTAAAAGAGAAGCATTTAACAAAAAGGAATACCACATTCTGAGTGTCTGATACGTAGTAAAGTCAGATGCATGTGCCCAAGGGCCTATTTTTATTCCTGTATACTGCTGCAGGTGGTGAGAACATCTGGCAGTTGCCTGCATATCTCACAGCTTTCCCTTGTTGAAATGTCTTGTGTCTCTTTTTTCAGGCACACAGCAATATCCTCTAGCCTGTCCTCACTCCCATGTGCAGCTCTACAGGACATTTGGGATAGACACAGCTTGCATTAGCATGATAATGTCACATTGCATCCATGGATTTGTTAAGTTTAAAGCCAAAGTGTATTCATAATTTAAAGCCCCTAGACCCTTTCATGTGGCCTCTAAGCAATGAGGGACATTACGTTGTGTGTTGAGCACAGACCCTTGAGTCTGACTTCTGGTAAGGCTCTTGACTTCCTAGGCATGACTTCTAGAAGAAAGTTGTCTGGCTTCAGCTTATAGCCACTGGTTCTTCACATGCCTTTCTATGTTAGGCTAAAGAACCGCCTAGTGTTTCAGTCTTTATATAGGTGTCTACATGTTACATATAGCCCTTTCAGTTTGTGACTGCAAAGTATTTCCTTCAGCTCTTGGATCACCATTGGTGTCTCCTCTGCACTTCTCTGTCCATAGGGCTCCCGCCTCCATCTCACCAGTGTGAAATACAGAAAGAAAATCACCTGCTTGTGACTCGCTCTCCTGCTTATACTGTCAACAATCTAGAGCATCACACTGAAGTTTCTGCCCTGATTCTGGTCTCTGTGAGCCCTGAATCTCTCTCTCTCTCTCTCTCTTTTTTTTTTTTAAATACACATGCTTCAGGATATAGAGGATTGGACTGTTTTTTGTTATGTGTTGCAGTCTACGTCCCTATATTTGCCAATTGCACTTCAATTTTTAAAGAAACACACTTATTAGAACACACCTAGATCATCAGATAAGATGGTCGTCTTGTTGCTTCCCACTTAGTGCTCTCATACAGAGGCTGTGCCTCGGTGCTATAAGAGTATCTGATGTTTTGGGGCTCTTCATATTGTCCTCAAAACCTTTCCTCCTGCCCCTTTGGGAGCGAGAGTGTGTTGCTCACCTCAGCTGACTGGCAAGTTATGTTTTGAAGTAATCTCCTGTCAGGGTCATGCACAGACAACCAGTCCATCTCAATCGTGCTTGCACTGTCATAGCTTCGTGCCAGGATTCCACCCTTACCCAAGGACTTTACTTTGAAGAGCATAGTTGCTAGCTCCTCTTAAGCATAAAAACTGGGAGCACTGGATGAAATGTGCCTGAGGCTTAGTGTGTTGTCCTTTCTTCCTGGAGGAAGGCAGAACTGGCAGCAAGGGTGGGCCAGTGATCAGGTGAGTAGATGTGTGCTTTTCAAACCATCCTGGTCAATAATTGGAGAGTTTATTTTGAATTCAGGTTTGACTCTAGAGCCTGGTATTCTTAAAAATCCCTTGTGCTATTTCAGAGGGTACCTGTGCTGCTGCTGACTGTTTACCTTTACCAGCTGATGTGCTCAGGTAATTCAGAGAGAGATTGGAATAGATGTGAGATGGGTGTCTTGCCAACCCCTTCTGGGTGATGAAAACCAATATTGCCTCGGTAGGGGTGTATTAGATGCAAAGAATGTCGGCAAAGATGGTGCTTGCTTTAAGCTAGTTAAGTTAAAATTAATAAGCGAAAAGAAGCCACTTGTCAAGAGAGTGAAGTGTGTGCTCCATCGTGCTCCATCGTGCTGACTGTCCCCCAGGGTTCTTGCCTGGGTTTTTGTTTGTTTGTTTGTTTGGTCTTCTCCTTTTTAAGGAGTTAACCTCTGGATCCTTCCTGTCTCATCTTTCCTCTGTATGTACAGTGACAAAACAAATCCCAATCTACAGCATAGTGCTGGGCTTCAAAACCTCACAGCATGCTGAGCCACCTTTCTGGCCAAACTTCCTTTCCAACACCTTTTTAAAATGTTTCTGTGGTGAAACAAGATTTTTCTCTTAGTACAAGATGCTGCCTTTTGGGTTGATTGTTACTCTCATGGCAGCTCTAGTATCACTTAGCTCGCAGCTCAGACCTAGGTTTTTGTTACTCTCAGCCCAGCAGGATTTCAGAGAAATCCAGGCTGTTTCTACTGTCTTCACGCATCAGCTTTCACACTTAGTATGCAGTCCTGCATTACAGGAGCAAAATTTACACGTTTTTTTTCTGGAAGAAGTCAAGTCTTCTGCTTAACTTGTGGTTAGCCTTAGCGTTGATAAAGCCAGAATGACAAGTGAGGCTACTTTGGAAGATTCTGTCTGATAGCAGGTAATGATGAAAATTTAGTTTGGAAAATTATGTTTCATGAGGGTAATTGGGAGCCTCCTCATGAGAATTCAGTCAGTGGCACAGCAGTAGGAGATTCAGCCTCAGGGATGATGCATGAATGCTGATTCCGGAGTGCTGCACTTTGTAAAACATCCTTCTTGCAAAAGTGCGCTAAACTTTTGCAACATCCTTGCAAAATTTTGCTTTGGGAACCATGTCTCTTACAAGATATGACTTTACTGGAAGTGGGAACACAGAGGCCCCATGGCCCTGATTGAATAGATGGCGTGACCTGTCTTGGGGAGATTTTGTCTGAAGTCCCCTCAGCCCTCCCAGCACAGAGTCACCTGGTACAGACAAGTCTCTTGACACATCTCTGTTCAATCATGTGTCTACACCACTCACAGAAAAGCTGCCTGTCCCAGCAAGACGATGTGGCTGGGATGCACAGAGTAAGGATTAAACTGCAAAGAAAGATGGGTTCCTAGGTTGGATTGAACAAACCACATTATCTGATTCAAAATATTGATGAAGATGATGTAGCTTGGTACAAGACCATGCTGAGATAAGTTAAGCTGCATCAATATGTAAGAGCACACATGGCTGCAGCTCCTGAAGTATGGGTAGATTCAGAGAATCTTCTTTTCCTATCAGCTGTAAAAGGGAATATCAAAGAAATCTTAGATTTCTGTTATCTTCTTCCCGTTTGTAAAAACCGTTTGCATGCTGCACTGTGATAAAGCTGAATGGTGCTGGTTCTCTTGATGGAGAGAATGGACCTGGTTCTGTTCCTCAGAGTCTGTAAGAGCTTTGTTATTGCCCTCAACAGTAATAGGATTCAGGCTAATGATGCAAAATCTCAGACTTGTTTAGCCTATGAAAAGAAACAGTTTTACAGTTCTGCACAGTCCTTTAGGGAAACTCTTTGCTCACCTCAGCTTGGTGTGGAGTCGGAGTCTGTGGACTCTTGCATCTGGAAGAGGAGTGGCCACTACCCCGTCAGTGAGCTGAGCATCTAACCACATGTTTGCACCTTGCCAGGACCCCCGGCCTTATCTCCTGGACTTGCAGAAGCAGAACAAGCCCTGGGCCGGGCACGGGGCTCCTTAGCTCTACTAGCTGGCTGTGTGGGTCACTTCTGAAGCAGTGCCAGCCACGCGAGCCAAGCATGTCCAGCATGTGTGGCACTGGTGCAGAGGTCTGTATTAGAGCTCCATGCTCTGCAGTGTGGACGAACCCTTTAGAGATGCAGTAATAGCCCAAAAACATTCATCGTTCACCCCTCAGTTTGCATGGTTACTGAGCTCCTCCAGGTGTGCATGGGATCTGGGCAATGTGTTTAATATTAAAGTTATGTTAATCAAGAAAGAGTACAGAATAAAGGATGTAGCGTGTTCAGGTCCCTCTGGGAGGTACTGGGAGGCAGAAAAGGGCATTCCATCATTTAAAAGGAAACTGGGATGCCCTTTCACACCAGCATTTCTACTGCAGCAGAATTTGACCCCTTAGCATGTAGGAAACATGAAGATTAAATTTTTTATTAGTCGTTATCTTTTTAGCTGCGAAGTTGAGGTCTAAATTGTAGGTTTTCCAAGATGTCAGGGAGACAGAGCTCATACATAAAATGTTGGCTTTGCCTAACTAAAAAGAAACAGGCCTGCAGAGCAGAGAAATCCCAATAAAGGAGTAACTGAGATCCAGAATTTAAGCTGGGATGCAGCCAAATGCAGTATCACGGAACAGCACAAGGAAGGCAGCTTCCATACAGTGAAGAGCCAAGCTGCATCTGGGAAGCACCCGTGTGTGAAGGGCTGTTTTCTCCCAGCTCCACATGGCTACAACGCAGCAACTTCCCCCTCTGCTGCCGGGAGTCCCCCCAGCCATCGCCTCTTCCCGGTGCAGAGCCCGGGCGCCCAGGCACTCATCCCAGGGAAGCACCCCGTGATCTCCCATGACCAGCTCCTACTTCTTTCTGCGTTAATCAAGAATACGACAGGCAGCGTTTGGCATTTTGCACATGATCACGTTTGATGTTTCATACTAACAGACTCATTTGTGCAAGGCAATGGCTTAATTAATATGCAGGGGCCAGGCTGAGGTAGGAAACCTTCATGTTTTACATCAATCCTGTCGGTACTTGCAGCAATACTGGAAGTCACGCTGAGCTTACGTGCCTTTTTCTGTGTATCCCTCCTGTGTGCTTCCTCCTTTTAGCATTGAAAATGCCCACTCCCTTTTTTTTGTATTGAAGACAAGGCTTCATGTCCCCGGAGGATTGAGTGAAAAGCAGAGTTAGTGTCACTTGCCTTGTCTGCAGGTACATGTATTTGTCTGCACTTGCGCTGGGCAAGGTTTAGGTAAGGGATACATGGATTTGCTATTTTGGATTTGAATGCTGAGCTAATTTTAGCAGCTCCCTATAGCAGTATGCTTGTCGAGCCTCTGAGACTACCAGAGATGCCAATAGCAATGAGGCCATGCTGCAGACCTGAGGTGAACCAACTTGGCCACTCAAGAGGAGCAGGGATGTTTTTTGAGCGAGGCCGGCTGGGCTGGGCTGGGGACAGGAGAGGGAACCTTGCAGGATGGAAACAGCACAGGGACTGTCGTAAGGGCACAGGTACAGCATCCCCACATGGACTGTCAGGAAACATTACAGGTCAGGACTAAGGGCATATTAGCAGATGCGTGTGCAGGAAGGAAGCTTTAGTCCGTGAAATCATTTTCTTGCTTGCATGCACAGCATTCACTCAGAAATATAAAGATAAAATAATCCCTTGGCTTTTTGCATGCCATATTCTTGATGTTTCATTCATAGCTTTATAGACTTCTTCAAATATTCATGTATCATAGCATAAGTGAAAGGGAGAAAAATACTTCTTTTGCAGGCTGAAAAGGAGATGGAGAAAAAATAAACTCAAATCCCAAAGCTATAGAATAACAGTTTTAAAATACATGAGGAATGAGTGATTTTTTTTTTAATAACCACTGTAGCTTAGGGGTCGATGTATCTCATTATATTAAATTTGAACACTGAAATCGACACATTGTGGTAATGGTTGTAATTGCAAAAAATACAAATTAAATTTTCCCACATGGTCTGGAGGACCAGAAGACTGTGGGAGAGCAACGAGGCTGCAAGGAAGCATGGAGATGTGACAGGGTGGGAGAGTCAGATTAGTGCTACGAGGAGCAGTGCCTGACCTGGAATTTACTGGCAAAGCTGTGTGAGGGTAGGAGATTGTGAAGGCAGAGCAAATGCCTTGTTGCTTCTCTTGGCTCTGTGGCCATGCTACTTGCTGCAGGATTTGTTCATGACTTTATTCCCCAAAGATTCTTAACTCTCAAAAGGATTGACCGAAACATTAGAGATACTCAGCAAGTGACTTCTTCATCTTCCCTTCCTTTCAATCTCCTTTCCCAGTACGCAGTATTGGCGCACATGGATAAGTGTGTTCCCCTGAGTGCCCTCATTATGAAGTGATCATTACATTGATTAAGACAGTTCCCAGGTGCTAATAGAGATGCAGTGAGTTCAGAGGCTTGTTGTCCATTTGTAGCCTTCCTCTTCCAAATATACATATATACATGCGCGTTCATATATGTTGATGCAGAAGGGCGCTGAACTGCTGCCAGGCTCCATAGTGTCCCAAGGCTGATGTGCAGGGCCGCTGGCATTTTCTTTGCAGTGCCAGATCATGTGGCTGATCTTGACTGGTCTGAGCCTCTTCTCAATCTAAATGAAGAGCAATGCCCACGAGTGTTATCCAGCAGAGCTCAGAAGAGATGGTGAGCCAGGACTTGGGATTACTTTCCTTGGCTGTGCCTCTGATGGGCCGTGTGACCTTTGAGGAATTGCTTAGGAAATCACTTTCAAACCAGCATAAGTAAAATTAGGTACCTCTGTAAAAGTGGCTGCATTTTGGAGGCCTGCACTGGCAAGCCTTGGTAAATTAGTACTTCTGGAATCCAGCCCGCTTATGAGTTTGCAGAATGTTCCCTTTAGCCTCTCTATGCTTGTTTCACCATCTGTCAAATGGGGATGTTAATACTGACTCAGTCTTTGTACAGAGTTTTGAGCTTCTGAGACCAAAAGTGCATGATAATAAGTGTTAGTAATTACAATACCATCATAGCACGCAAACACATCTTGAGAGACCAGTTTACTGTTTGAAGGACAGGTAGAAGTCAGAGCTAAGGCATGGAGCTGCTGCTCAGCCCCTCTCAAAGGAGGTTTGATTTTTGTTTTTTTGGCTGTTTGATACCTTACACAGACTCTGTTAGGATTAGTTTGAAACTTGGACGTAGGCTGTGACTTTCTAGGGGTATCACCTAAGAGGAATCCAGCAGGATGTTTGTTTGTGATATTTGGGGAAGTGGGGAAATCAAGGCAGGAAAGGATCATGAAACCACTGTCCAAGGCTATGCCTTTATGGAAAGTCAGAGTAAGTTTGTTCCTTACAAGGATCTTCCTCCCCGCTTCTCCTTCTGCCCCAACTCGCATTCTGATCTCACAGGACCATGCAGTCGCATTCCTGTGTAAATGCAGTTGCATCCTTCTGTGATGGCATTGCACAGCAAATGCCCATGCAATACTGCCAGGCAGATATGCAGCTGGGAGCAAAGAGACCCGTGAAGCCTCAAAGCTTTACGCCTGCCTGTACTCCAACTTGGCATCCAGAACCTCTGGGAACGATACCTGTGAGGTGCAGGGGTAGACCCAGGCAAGTCAGGATATCCCTGGGGAGTCCTGGGGCTGGTGCATGGCAGCATTACCTCCTGCTCTGCTTCATGATGCTCCTGAGGCCAACAGCCACTTTATAAACACATCCCCGATGAGGTTCTCGATGTGCTCGCCGTCATCCGTGGCCTTCCTCTCTTTTTGGCCCCATGAGTGACTAGCAACACTGCATCGGTTTAGCAAGACCCCCCTGGTTTTGTCAAGCCTTTCCTCTGCACCCACGAGCTCCTGCCTGTGGCAGGGGGACCACCAATGCCTTTGGGTCACGTTGGGTCGTGTCAGGTCCTGATGGCAAGTGTGACTGCCTCCCCACACTCCTTCCCTCCCCTCCCTGCTACTCCCCTCCCATATCCCATCCCTCTGCCTTTGCTCATGGGGGCAGGGGGATACTTTTGGGACCCAGAGCCCCACTCCTCACCTCTTCTCTCCAGCCTCATCTCCATCTTGCTGCTACTGGGCCTGCTCACCAACCTGCACCTAGCATGCGGCTACAGAGAGCTCGCACACTGCATTAAGCCACATTCATTGCTCATTGAAAGTTGCCATCTGCCAAACAGCTTTTACAGCTCTTCCCATTGGGATATTAACTTTTTCCTTGTTTTCTGCTTTCTTCCTGTTTTTCTTTTGTTCTTCTTTCTCCACAGCTCTACTGCTCACTCAAGGTAAGACTGCTATTCTCCTTTCCTCTCTCTGCTTTGACTCTGTTTTCATCTTCTTCAGTCAGGTCCTATGTGTTTCAGTTTGCTCTGTTGCAGTAGCGAGGACAATCCCAGCTCAAGGTATTAATGTCTAGCAGGAACTATGCAAGAACAATGTATTAAAAAATCAAAGTGATTGATATGTAAAAACCTTTCATTAGGTTCTAGAATTTTGCCACAGTTCTGAGAAATGACGTAACTAGGATTGCAAAGCAGAACATGTAGTTTGGGGTAACTGGCAGGTAGTCACTTCACTATCTTCAGGCAGCTCTGGTTGCCCTGAAGCACCCAGGAGCTGCGGGAGTTTCCTGCAAACTGCAGGAGACGGTGGCACCAGTCACCCTAGGAGGGTGGTGCCGGTACCAGCATGGGGCACTCCAGGGGTCTCTCCCCTAAGCATGGATGTGATGTTACCTGCAGCAGGTGACAGGGGTGATTTTTTTTTAATCCACTTAAATATTTTTCACACCCTTTCCATCTGAGGAGCAAGAGCACACGGAAATGTGCCCAACATGAGGGCAGTGTTCTGAGGATATGGTATAAATCAACAGTTTCCCTCCTCACCCTCAGCACTGGCTCAGCACTCTATTTCCTTTCCATGTGGCAGGATTTTACATACATTAATACTGAATCCTCCTTCATAGCCTGAAATCCCCATTATTTGGTCTCTCTTGATCACATTGCAGTATGATTTATGCTTCCTGTATTTTTCTTACTCCTCCAACTCTAGATATGATTACAGTTGAATTTGTCCTAAAGAAACATTTGTCAAAAGATAAGGCCCAGCAATCAGGGCACAGAGAGGAATTTGAATCTGGCAGGTTTGTAAATAGAGCTGAAAAATAAAAACTCAAGTTTAGAAGTTCTGGGTCCTGCACTGGGCTGCAATGAGGAGGCAGCTGTACTCCTTTGGGTCTAAAGTTTACCGCGAGTCTCTGCTCTACATGAAATTAAGGCACTAGTCTTGTATGTTCGTGTGCCTGAGCTGTGCTGCAGATCAAAGGAGCAGTGTAGCTGTTGTGTAAGCCTTAGTTTCCTCTGCTTTTAAGGAGTATGCTAAATCTGCTGTCCAGAGAATGGCTTGAGCCCATAATATATTGGACTAATTAGGAAATTGCTAGTGACAGGCAGAAATCCCAGGTTCCCCAAATATCAGCCTGGGGTATTTATGGAAAACTCCTCTGACCACTTTAGACGTTTTTCTTTGTTGCTTCCTCAGGTCCAGGAGGACTGAAATTAAGTCGAGCACAGCCTCTTCACAGTAATTTCATTGCTTTAATTCAGTAGCTGCCTAATTTGATCAGAACCTCAGCAACCAAATAATTTGTATTAGAATAATATAATTTTCCCTCTCTGTTGTGATCCAAACTGATTGCTACTGGCAGGTGTTATTGGATAACGTGGTCACCAGCTATAGAAAGTCCCTTTTCAGTTTAAAAAAAAAGGAAAGGAAAGGCCGTATCTCTGCCTGTGAGGAAAGGGGAAGGCCCCTGAGGTGCGTGTCCTCTCTTACCACCCCTTTGCCAGGCTGGACGGAGTGTCCCACCTGCCCAGGAGCGCTTTGGGCTTGCAGAGCTCAGGCTGGGCACACCATTAAAGCCAGCAGGCAGCCCGAATGCTGGTAAGGCTGAGCGTGCCATCCCACCACCGAAACACATGTTGGAGTGTCACTCAGCAGCAATCATGGCTAATAAGCGCAGATAGAAGTGACGTTCTCATTTAGTCTGTGTCATGTTAGATTTAGATTACACGAAATGCAGGAATCTTTGTAAAAAGCTGCATTATTGAACATTTCAGTAGAATCCCTTCCTCCTGGAAGTGTCTCACACAACCTCTTCCTGGTCCCATTGGCTGCCTCTCTCGGACCTGGCTCCATACCTTTGCTCCGTTCCTGAGCCACCTTCGGATTCTTTCTAGAGGTCTCCACTTTCTCCAGTGTGTCAGTCGGCAGCGTGCACGTGCATCTTCATGCACACAAGTGCACAGGCTTTTTGCATCTGCCACGGACCCCCTAGAAACAAGTAGCCCTTACAACCCTGGTTTCTTCTCTCTGCCACCTCTGCTCCAGAGCCCTGTGACATTTGCCCTGAGTGTGGCACCTGGGCTGAACAGCCCCAGGTCAATCTACCAGACCATCCTCTTCACAGGAGCCCTCAGACCCTGACTGCACTGCAGGCATATAGATAGACCCTGGCTGAAACCTATGTCTTGTCCAAGCAGCCATTTCTTTGGAGCAAGAATGCCAATCAGCTGTCCTGTTGGGGACAGCTGGGTCAATAATAATCTTGAGACAGAGCCAGAAATTTATGCACAATTTCTAATCCTGTATTTTAGCTGTGCATTAGCCTTCCCCTCGTGAATGTGTAGAGTTTCCTAGCTGGCATTAAGGACACTGAGGCATGTATACTGGATGTATCACACCACAGAAATAGCTTTCAGGGCTAAGTAAGAAGATTCCTCCCTGTTTAGCAAGCAGCACACAGTGTTGGTGCTTGTGGGTGTGCATGTGCTTCATTAAAGGGCATATCAATATGCTAACCTCAGAAGCTGGAGCGTCTTTTAGCCAGCAGTCTTCCCCAGTTGTGACTGATGGATTGACAGCCCTCTGGAGAGAGAGACTCATTCATGCTCAATGTTTACTTTGTTTAGCTGGGATTATATTTTATTGAGCTGCAACAGAAATCCCACTTTAATTGTCGTTTTAATTTCTTCCTGGCAGCGCAGTCCCCAGAAGGGGTGACCTTCATGCAGATACTGGCCCACTCCAGAAATGGATAGCTCAGGGGGTAGGAAATGGCCTCCGTAGCAGACTTCCATGAATACATTGCTGGTTTTAATCCAATTTATTCAGCAAGTGACAGAGAATACAAACTGGTCTGTATCTTGCAGCATTTCCTAGGTGATAGGTATCTACCTCTCCAGCAGCATTATGGGACCTTCCTTGTTGTCTGCTTCAGTACAAAAGGTATGATGGCCAGATTAACCCTGCAGAAATGATCTTTGTCTAACTTTGATTTATGGTGTGTCAGGGGGGCTACAGGCAATGTCCAGTTCCCATTTGGTTTCAGCTGACCTGAAGGTGTTGTTGCTAGCTAGCCCCTTCCAGGAGCAATACATCATGTGTGAGCATGGCTCTGTTTTGCCTTCTCTGGAGGAAATACCAATAAAGGACCTCTTTGCAGTAGTTTGATCCTCCCAAAAACATGTCGTGTAGATTTGAAAGCATTTTGCAAATAGCAGTGAATTAAGTCTCAGGGTGCCCTTGTAGGACTAAGAGTCTTGAACATTCTGAGGAAGCTGAGGAACAAAAAAGAAAAGGATGTGACCGAGGCTGCAGAGCATGTCAGTGGCAGAGCTATGTCTGGGAGGCGCTAACCCTCCTTTGCCTGTCCTACCTTGCCTATCTGAATTAACTCAGAATGGGCCAGAATAACTCAGAATCAGAGCACAGAGTGACTTAACCAGAAACCTCTGGTCACTTCCTGCAAAGAAATGTTGGGCCTAGCACCATGCCCGTGTGAAATGTGGCCATTGCTGCAGCCCTTCTCATTTCTCCTATCCAACTTTTGATTCTATCAGACCTGGTCTTCTCCCCTACTTGCAGCAGCTCCTCTCGGAGCGGTGAGCAACCTGCACTGAGGAGCAGAACATATTCACGCAGTACGTGACGCAGCAGGCCCTGCTTGCCTAACCTTAGCAAGCCGTGCTGCTGTGGCCAAGGCTAACGCACACCTGCACTGCAGGGCTGGAAGGGTGTTGGGGACTTCTCCATCCCCACCTTCCCCTCCCCAGCGAGGAGGTGGAGGCAGCCCAGGAGGCCCTGGCGAGCTCCCTTTCTTGCCTGGTGCATCCAGACCTTATCAGGCTTAATTGGGGTTGACAGCTGGAAGTCCAGGGTGCAATCTGCATTGAAAGGTAGGTAGTGATGCTGATATAAACAGAAATCAGGGCTAGTTAATAATTAAGCTGCAGTTTGGCAGCACTCACCTTGACAGACGTGACCTTCCAAATTAAAACTCCGTCTTTTCTTCCCTCCTGCTTTTCACTTATTCATCACAGCTCTTGATGCCTTCTTTGATGCCTAACACACTTGGATGGGTGTGGGCAGGGCAGAGCAGAAGTACCCTCCAGATGCCTTGTCTCTGCTTCCTGGAGGCCCCCTTCTACCCCCCATCTCTACACCCATTTCTCCCCAAGTTCAGGACTCTGCAGTCAGAGCCGTCTGCACATGCTAGAGTGTGCCCCACATTTTCTGTGGAGGCTGCACCATCTTGCAGCTGGGAGCGCAAGCTCGAGCGCTGAACCTGCTGGCCAAAGTGCTTCAGCGAAAGGCAGGAGCTGTCGTGTTAAATCTCAGATTAATGAGGAGTCAAGCCCAAATCCATATTTTCCTGGGTTCTCTACCTTGTACATGGTCATATAGGACATATGTTTCTGAGCATTTGTCTAGCTTTATAAACCTTTTAGGAGACTTTGGTGTTAGGCACTGCTAATTTGTGATCTCTCAAGAGCTGCCAATGGGAGACATCTCTGACTTCTCACAGGCTTTGGGGGTCAGCACTGAGAGCAGTGCAGGAGAATCTGTCATTTCCTGGCCTTGCTGGCCCACGAATGTGCCACAGCAATGCCATTCTGTAGCAAAGAGCAAAATGAGATGTAGAGGAATGAATGAGGAAACCAGGACCAGAAGCAAAAGTTCCTTTCTTTCTAAGGGCATCCCATGCAGCAGGTTACAGATCCAGCCTCCTTTTTGGTGGGTTTCTGCCTACTGTTATGTCACCTGCATTTCCCTGTGCAAATGGGACAGGTCATGACATACCCACTCACCACCAGAGAGCATGAGGTTTGGGAAAGGTGTTGGGTCTCTACACACAGCACTTGCCTCTGCACTTAAACTCCCATGGGAACAGAGCGTGCCTGCATGTAGGCCCAACGCAGGGAGAGGCCAGCAGCTAGTGCGTTGGTGAGGCTGGCACTCATTCATGCAGTCGTTCTATTCGTGTTGAGGTTCCCTGTGCAGTAAGTGGGAAGAGGGAGCAGGTTCACGCAGCTACTTGATATTGTTCTTTGGAAGTGCTTAGCCCTTTGCCTTAGTCGTATGGGGAGTGCAGGTTTGGGCAAGAGACACGTTAACTGGACCTCTAATGTCACAGCTTGTCTTTATTACCACAAATGTCACTGACATCTTCAGAGGAGAATCAGCAGGCTGGCATGTGACATCTGTGTATACTTGCATGAGTACATTGAGCAAGCTATGGCACAAAATTGGTATGCGACTCTTACTAAACTATGTTTGTTTCTTAATATAGGACATAAACTCAGTGAAAATATAAGGATAGATACAATGCTTTCAGATTCACCTTTGAAGTGTGTTACATTTCTGTACTTTGCCTGGCAGGTTCTCTTTCCTGTTGCACATTTACAAATGTAACCACCTTCTTTATCAATAATTCAGGAATTAACTCTTCTTTACTACTTTTAAGCTTCTTCTATTAGTGCTGCTGTGAGACACCCTTCTGAGCTCACCACCATCGTAACGGGCAGGCAGGACTTGCAGATGTGTTGCCTATGCCCGTTCTCCTGCAGCTGGTTGGCAGCTAAGGTGGCAGATTTAGCCTGGGAGTAGTAGTCAATCCGCTGCCCCCACAGGACATCCTTGATATACATTCTTGGGCAAATGTGTTTCTTGTCTCGGCGCTCCGCTTCCCCATGCCCCATGACGGTGATTCCTGTATTATTGATGTCTTAGTGGGCTTGCTGTCAGCAGGCTGCTGGGCTCCATGGCTGCTCAGCTTGGCACGTCAGCTTATGCAGTGTAGGCCCCAAAGGTGCCTCTGGTGGCACGTCTTCAGCTAACGAGGTGCCCTCTGGAATAGTCCAAGTCCCACAGCCATGTGGTGTGGTAGTAGGTACAAACACCATTAATTTGGTTGAGTGCCCAGTGCCGCACTTGCTATGCAAGCTTGCCAGAAGTCGGGTCAACTTTCCAGGTGGCCCCTCTATTAGTGCTGCCATGATCATCCCAACTCCTACCACTGTGTCCGACCAGGACAGCCAGAGCTCTGTTTCTATTCCTGGATATAGAAGTGTTGATGGCTTTACTGTCTTCTAAGAGCTGCCTGGCATGTTTTCTATCTTCATCAAATCAGTAGCTGATCCACAAGTGGCTTGAAGAGGCAACAAAGTAACCTGCCAACAGCTGAAGCTCTTGCTGCTGGTGAGTGACACCGCGGTATTCTGGTGCAGTCTGTCTGGCAACCTCAGGCACGCAGTCAGAAGAAGCTGAGCAAACTCCTGTGCTTCAGAGGAGAGTTTCAGATCTCACATTGACACGTCTGGCACAGGTTTATAAAACAGCATAAATGTGGTAAGGTCTGAGCTAAATCCTTACTGGGAAGCAAAGTATATTCTGTAATGCATACACTTATTGAAGCATGGGAAGATCAGACTTTTCTAGATGGATAATATTTGAGTGAGGCCCTGCATTTTCTTACAATATCAAAGACAAATCACTTAAAGCTATGCAGGGACTGAGATTTTAGTCTAGGGCTTCTCCTGGATTTGTAAAGCCCAGGAAATTCTATCAGATATTCCCCTTTTTCTGGGCTTCTTCTCTGATCCCAGACTTTTGGTTTCTACACATTGCAACAGCATTAGTTGGCAAGAGCCCAAGGAAGTGCGCTGCCAGCTGTGAGCTGCAGTTTTTCTGATGCATTTGCTTCTCAGTGAAGGTTGTAGTAAGCCACATCGTCCCTGCGTTTGGGCTTTGCAACCTTGTTGGGACGACTGCTGTGCTTTTCCAACAGCTGTGTGCTGTCAGCACACGTCAGCGTGCTCTTGAGGGGTCTGCCAAACTGGACCACTGCAGAGCTCTGTGCACCTTGTCACCTTAGCTTTGGATTACAGTAGATCTCAGATAGGAGCAAGGATGTGCGTAGTAAGGCTGGAAGACTATTGTATCAGCATCTGCATTCTTCACAATGTATACACCTTGTAATTCTGCAGGTATAGACAGAGGCGGACTGGACCTTCCAGATCTCTGTCTTGGAAAAGAAGATTTCATCTAAATCCCTGCTTAAGTGGATATGAGTAACTTGAATCTTGTTCTTGATGATCATCAGTTCGTGCTTCCAAATATAGCACGATGCAGAACATTTTGTGCCAGATTCACTCCTGTTTCTGCACTTCTCCAGCTGAGCTGTCTCTTCCCCTTGGGTCGCCCGGCCTTTGCCTGCAGTCATCCTCCACGTCTCTCCTGTTCTGCATTGCCTTTTTGCTGCCATCTCTTTCTCCAGGTGCTGCTGTTGCTCTGTCTCTGTCAGCATTTGTAAACTTTTGGGGATTCCCAGGTGCAGAGTACATTGTGTTTGGGTTAGGCAGTGATGATTTTGATTAACTTCATTGATTTCAAATGACGGACGTAGTTGTTTCTGCTTCTATGATGTGTTATAGTAATGTTACCTGCCATAGGAGTTCTTATGCTTTTTATAGACTCTGCAGGTCTTACAAGGTTTACAGTCTTTGTAGTCAATCTAGCAGGGTTGATGAGGAAAGGCAGAGTTTATAAATAGATTCCATGCAGAGTTTGCAATTTCTGTATGATTTTTGTGTGGAGTAAGAGGTAGGCTGGATAGGATTGATGAACCCTGCAGCAATCAAGAGATATCTCATAACAGCTGAGGCATTACCTGTGGTGTTGGTAAATGCTGCAGGAAACCTTGGCTAACATATGACTCACTGCTCAGGCAGAATAAGATCCTCTTCATTTGTGCTGCTCCCCCTTTCTGCAGAGCTACCATGCAGGCTTACCTGGGTGCTGGGCTGCAATTAAATTGTTCACACTGACCACCCACAAGGAAGTCAAGGAAAACCCATGTTCATTCTTTCCAGAAAACCTGGCACAGGTATTAATTGACTCACATCTTCATTCTCTGCATGTTTTTCCTAGTAAGCACAAAGATCTTGACATTCCCAATCACTGTTGATAAAAGAGGAGAGTCCTCACTGGTTCACAGCTGCCTCCACCACAGGGATGGGTCTGTGTGCCAGCACATCCTCCTTGCAGCAGCATCCTAAGTATTGGGAAAGGAGTAGTGGTGGGACCCACAGCCTACATTGTGCCAGAGCTGTGGCCTTCCTCCCGCACAGGACTCCTCCATGTCAGTGACCAGTGGCACAATCTGCAGCTGCGGGCAGGTCACTCTGTTGCCTCTGCAAGCCAGCGGGGTCAGCTGCTGACTGGCTGGTGGTCCTGGTGGCAACTTGGACTGGGTGGTATCATTCAAGTAATGCATTCTCAGCCTTATTCTAGCTCTGTGAATCTTTTCCACCTGAGCAAATACCTGTTGTTGGAGCATTTCTGTCTACTTTAAGCCCTTCCTTTTCTGGTTTGCTGGTACAGACCCTGAGGGCACACTAGGCTTCTCTGCTGATGCCTCCACCCAGTAAGAGATTTCTCATTTGTCCCAGCAAGAACAACTCTCTGAAGCCAAATCCAGCTCCGTCTGGTTGCTATCCTCAAGCTAAATGCAAAATTAGGAACAAAGATGCTTCAGCCAGTTCCCTCTTGAGTCCTGTTATGTCTGATCGCTGACTTACTATTTTGCCTGGATATTAGCAGTGGCCCTCCCACCAAGAACTGTGCTGTGCCTTGCTGTGGGGGGTCAGGATTCAGGATGCTTTCTTAAAGCACCCAGCCCTCAAAATGTATTCACTCTTCAGGCATCTGTCTCTGAAATCTGCAGAATATCTGCAGATGAGATATTCCTCTCTCCAAACTTGTCTTCCTGTGCTTTGGGCTCTCTTCTTCAGGCAAATGTTGAATTTATTGGATTTTAGAGAGCACATTTCTCATATTGATCTTCATAGCCTTATATCCACACATCCCCAGCTTCATGGAACCCATATCTGGGGCATCAGTCTAGGAGAGCATTGAACACGAGTAAATGTATGTGCCCTTGGGATCTGATATTTATATTCTTCTGAAACATTTGTGTTCCTTGGTGATGATACAAAACCCAGTGGGGAGTTAGAGAAAAAAAAGGTATACAAAGATTGCATGTGCAGCCTTCATTTGCAGAATATTCTGTGGGGTGCTGTTCTCACTCCTACTCCATTGGCACCTGGGTATATGGGTGGGAGAGGAGACATTAAACATCCAATAATGTGAGGACAGAAACTCACTTGGCCCCAGCTTATTTCTTCCTGTTTATTTTTTTCCAAAAGTAGGAGTCTCACAGGAAAGTGTGGCAAAAAAGTAGTTGCTGCACAAAAAGAAGGAATAAAGTGTGTGTGTGTATACGTGTATATATATATATATATATATATATATACACACCCACATATATGCACACAGATATGTGTGCTCATGTGTTGTTTTGACTGTGTATGTATTACCTGAGAGTTAGATAAAGTGTTGAATAGCCCAGAGTGCTAATAGTGATTTTCTAATGAAAGGGAAATTCCATTTGAAACCATAAGACATGTTTTCTTTTTTAATCAAAACAATATTTTCTTAGATTCTTGGTGTTTAACTAATATACAGAAATCTTTGTCCTTTATTTTCTGTAGTCTGATGTCGTCCCCCTCCCACCCACTCACCCAAAGCTCTGTGTCAACTTAGCAAATTGGGAAGGGCTTGCACAAGGGCTGTCCAGGGAATCCCTCTGTGGTGTTTCCCTAGAGCTTGAGAGATGCTCCCTGCCACTTAGTGCTGACTTTGCTTTCACAGAAGTGGCCGACAGGAAGCTCACGGTTGAAGAGGAGGAAGCCAAGAGGATTGCAGAGATGGGCAAGCCCATACTTGGCGAGCATCCCAAACTAGAAGTTATCATTGAGGAGTCCTATGAGTTCAAGGTCAGTAATTGCTCCAGGGGTCCTCCAAGAAGGGAAAGGAAGAGGCCTCCACTGGGCACTTGTGAGATCAGTCTTGACTGCTACGACCTGGTGTTTGATAAACTGGTTTAATCTTCCACATCTTTGTTCCCACAACAGAGCACTGTGGACAAGCTGATCAAGAAGACAAACCTGGCTCTGGTTGTAGGCACACATTCCTGGAGGGACCAGTTCATGGAGGCCATTACTGTCAGTGCAGGTGAGATGAGCAGTGAGCTGACCTTAACAGCAACCCTAGAGGCTTGCACAGATGGGGACCACATCTGTCTACACTCAGGAGCCACCTGAGACAGCATCTGCCCAGTTGGTGATGTCCAGCTGTGGTATGTGGGCTGGTCATCAGCTAAATCAGTCCAAGGAGCTCATTAGCTCCAAATATGCTGGCCTTTTGCAAATAGGAGATCTCAAGTGGAAAATCATTCCCCGAAGGCCAGTTTTCTGACACATTGCTTGCACAGGCTTTGCTCCTTCTGCTTTAGGGATTTAATAACCAGTGCAGACCACAGATTCCTGTCCTTGGTCACGGAGCTTCATGTTGGTGTGCCTGATGTTGCACTTTTAAAATATCTCCTGCTCCTGGCAGTCTTCCAAACTGGCCCAGTCTTGCGTGGAGCCCTGCTGGGGCTCAGGTGCTGAGCCCTGGTGCTCAGCAAGGCTTGCAGAGACATCAGAAAAGCCCGGAGACCTGCGAGCTGCTCTCCGGGCAGTCTGGGAAACTCATGGCTTCCAAAGCCACTCCTCGCAGCTGGCATTTATGGGATAACCCTCTCCATGGAGCTTCAAGGCTGCTCCTTTTACCTCATACAGATGTGGGCTCTTGCTGGGAGCTGGATGTTGATGTATCTATGCTCTGAAGTCAGGACCAAGAGACTGTGTCATTCTGGTTTTCCTAATCACAGTCATTGCACTCAATTCTATAACCTTCTACAGTTTCCCAAGTGTCACTTACCTGTGTGACTTCATGATGCTAATCAACAGTGAGTTGCACAGATTAATTATATAGTACCTAGCTGCCTGTGGTGTTTTTAACCTTTTAAGCAGACCTACCTTTCGCTTCCAAGTGCTTGCGTTTTCTTGTCTCCCCGGAGAGAGGAACCCGGGATGCCTGACTCGTCCTCACAGTTTTCAAGATAAGGTTTGGGTTGCTATGGTGATAAACATGGTCTCATTCTCCGGGTACCAGTACTGGGATAACACTGGAGCAAGAGGAGACAGTTCTGCCTCCCAACCCACTTGCCAGCAGCCAGCGCCACGTCGGGGTGTGGGTCCCTGGGCTTTGGTGGCACTGGATCCTGCCGTGGGGCAGCCCAGCAGGACCCGGTGGGCAGCCGTGATGCAGGAGGGGCGAGAGGCCATGGTGTGGGGAGGCTTGTGACCATGGTCCCTGTCAGGCAGCAGAGATCTGTGCTTGGGCGCCTCGGCAGCTTCCCACCAAGCCCCATGCAGCGCTCCGTGCACTCCTCCGTGTGGCTCCAAGGCTGCTCCGCAAAGGAGTTACACACCAGGTAGTGCTTGATGCTGCGTACCCACTGGTGATCTTGCACCCACTGGTCCACTGACCAGGCATCAGCTGGGGTGTAGGACGAGTGGCCTTGCAGGAGCCTGGTCGTGAGACCCATCCTCTCCTTTTGCCTTGTTTGCAGCGGGTGATGAAGATGAGGATGAGTCTGGTGAGGAGCGCCTGCCATCCTGCTTTGACTACGTCATGCACTTCCTGACCGTCTTCTGGAAGGTGCTGTTTGCCTGCGTGCCCCCCACAGAGTACTGCAATGGCTGGGCCTGCTTCGTCGTCTCCATCCTCATCATCGGCATGCTCACCGCGGTCATCGGAGACCTCGCCTCCCACTTCGGCTGCACCATTGGCCTCAAGGACTCGGTGACGGCCGTCGTGTTCGTAGCCTTTGGCACCTCCGTTCCAGGTGAGGAGGCCACAGGCCAAAGCACGATGCTAAGAGGAGAGTTGCCTTCCCCAAACCCTGCAAGACCCCTTGGCGGCGGTGCCTTGGGCTTGCTGCCTGAGCCTCCGCACAAGCCGATGTGCTGAGCAAAGCTTGAGCTGGGCTCTCCCTTCCTCCTGGCTCCCAGACAAGCTCTCTGGGAGCTTGTCCCATTAGCTGGCATGTGGGTTGGGCTGGGAAGTGACTCCCTGTTCGTGGGCAAGGTCTGCTCACTCCTGCCTCCAAGCATTCATCCCTGCTCGGTGTTGCCAAGGGGTCCTGCCTCGTGGGGTAGATGACCCACTGAGGTGCATGGTGGTGAGTGCTGGGAGGGCATGGCTGGGGCAAGAACCTCATCCAGAGAGAGACTCGGAGCAAGAGGTGGCCAACCAGCACTTGCCCACTGGTGAAGGTGCTACAAACCATGGGTTCAAGCCCAGTCCTCAGGCTGTCCTGGTCACTTTGACCCCCTCGAAGTGAGGGCTTGGCATTTGTTCCTGCTGGAGCCCACCCAGTGACATGGTTGTCCCACCATGAACCCGTCCTCCTCCCTGAGCCGCTGATAACTATTTTTCTCTCCCCCTCGCCAGACACTTTTGCCAGCAAAGCAGCCGCCATCCAGGACGTGTACGCGGACGCCTCCATCGGCAACGTCACTGGCAGCAACGCGGTCAATGTCTTCCTGGGCATCGGGCTGGCGTGGTCGGTGGCAGCAATCTACTGGGCCTCGCAGGGGCAGGAGTTCCAGGTGTCGGCGGGCACGCTGGCCTTCTCCGTCACCCTCTTCACCATCTTCGCGTTCATCTGCATCAGCGTGCTGCTCTACCGCCGGCGGCCGCACCTCGGCGGCGCGCTGGGCGGCCCGCGCGGCCGCCAGGGG